TCCCCATTTTACTCTCACTGAGGGAAGTACACTGAACTCCCCTGGCCAGTAATAAGATCTTAATTAAACTCTAATTATGACAGTAGAAATATGAAGCCTTAAATACTTTGGTTCCCACCAGCCAGCACATTCTCTATCCCTGATGTCTAGACACAGATGCTGCAGGTATGTCTACATACAAACTGAAAACAAAACCAAACTTGGGTCACAGACTCCAGCAGCCAAACAGGCAAATAAGATCAATTCAGTTGTTTCAGTTCATGTGCAGAAAACCCTGATGTTCCCATCATCTGAGGAGGAAGGGCTGTTAGTGACACATACATCTTGAAGTTACACCCTCAGGGCAGAAGATGCAATTAGGTTACCACAAGTAGTGTCCCGTCCACTGCAATTAGTGTCCCATCCAACTTGTTCAGCTGTAACTGCTCTGCTCCTCTGTAAGTTCTTTTATCAAGCAGCTGCTCTTTGCTTTGCTGCAGGTTTGGATCTGAACTACTCCTTGCAGAGTGCACACCCTGTTCCTCTCCTTGCTCTTTTTTTCTCCGAGGTTCTCTGTTACTGGTATTGTCAAAGGTGAACCCAAACCAGGATTTTGTGAATGCAAACACTCCCAGATCTGACCTCATCAACCCCAAAATTAAAAAGAAACATAATTGATCACCTCAATGTAGGAAAAAAAGCCCTTTGTTTGAAATAAGCGGAGTAGCACAATTCTTTCCATTTTCATACCGTATCTTGTGGGCCTAATTTCAAGGCATCACTGCTGTTTCTGTCTTCCTTAGAAGGCGAAAACCAAATCAACCAACTCTTCCCTCCACATATAACATAGCAGTGGTGTCTTGGCTTTCTACTTTCCCCACAGATGTGGGCTGCTTCTAAATAACAGGTTTTTACCAGGGGCTATCTAGGGTGGCCTTTCCACTGAAGTGGGCAAGAAAAATGATGTTGCTGTTACATCACGATGGTTGTATTTGATAAGCAGGAGTCCAGTCGTAGTTAGTGGTCCAGAACTTGGAAGTGCTGGGAACTAACCCTTCAGAGAAAAGCAGAAATCTCTCAGTGCTTTGTTGCTTGCAGAGGTTGCTCTTTGAGTAGAAACATGAACAATTAATGTCCTAAATAATGAAAAATGAGCAATCCTAGAAGCCCTTGCTTCATTTTCTATCTGTAACTTACTGTATGAGGAAGTGGCTGAAAAATGCAAAAGACAAGACTTTCAAGTGCCCAGTCCCAGAGCTGGAGCCAGAATTTCAGGAGCAGTCTGCCTTTAGTGGCTCCCTGCTCATCACCCAAGCAGCTTTGAAGACTTCTTTTGAGGATGCAGCCATGTATTCAGATACTCAGGCAGGAACAGAGTTGTGGAAAGGTCTAGATGCAGGAAAGCCACTGGAGAAAACAATTCTCAAATAAAAAAAAAAAAAAAAAACACAAACTAATAGGTAGAGTCTTCTATCAAGCACAGCTTGTTTACAAGCAAATGGCACAGTACTGGCCAAGGCTAGCTCATTTTCTGAGCCAATACCAAACTGATGTTTGTGACATTACAGCTGGAGCCAACAGGAAAGTTGCACAGGCTTTAGGCTGAAGCACTAGTGCCTCCAATCCAGCAAACGTGTAAGCACATGCGCAACTTGAAAGGAACAGGTGGGAGGTCTGAGGGACTGACTCCAGTGTTGGTAGTCCGAAGCAGCAGATTGTGTAGAGCTACAAAGACTTTTATCTGCTGGAAGCCCAGATGATGCTAGGAATGAGGTCTGCATCCTTTTAGGGCATTGCAACAAGAGAGGCATCAGAGAAGGTGGGGTGGGGGAAAGACGTCTTTAAGACAAATTAGGATAGAAACAGCATGAAACAGGAAAATAAACACCATGGCCTTGGCATTGAGACAGCCTAATCTCTCCATATTCCCTAAAGCTGCATAGACCTTGGAACAAGAGAAGGTGACTGAGGAGGCATTAAAACACTTCACAGGTTGTGTACACCATATAGACATTATACTTTAATGGCCTGTCTATGCAGATAGCCAGCTTAAGCCCAGCAAGAACAAAGAGATTTGGCAGGTAAAGTAAGAGAGTCATAAACCAAAAGATTAAAAAAAGGAAACTGGAACAAATACTGCCAAAGAAGAAGAACATCACATAGGTAGTGTATGCGAGGGGGGTGTTTATTTAATTTTTTTTCCTCTCTCCCCTTGCAAGAAAAATGACTTCTCTAGCTTGGGTTTGTTCACACTTCACAGCTACTGAGCTCTGTGCAACCCCATGGACATAATCAATTATGAAGTTCTAGACTGACCTGCAATAACAGACCCACACCAACCAGGCTTTATCCTATAGTATGGATTAAGAGAGGGACCTTTCTAATAGTAACATATTGCTTGTTGGTAGCCTGGGAGTCCTTCTCACCAGGTAGTTCAACTATATCATAGATGAAAGAAAGAGCAAACCTTATGCAGAAACTTCCTTCACTGTGCTGGAAGAAAAAAAAAAAAAAAAAGAACAAAGAAAAGTAAACCAAACCACAAACCATTTGTTGCACAGGATTATACCATTCCTTATGGTTTTGCATCCTGATTTTCCCCAGCAGAAGTTTGTAAGCTATCCCTGTGTGTTCACCCACTTGAAAGGCAGACACAGACGTGGTCTGATACTGGGGGTTCCCAGGTAGCAGCACAATACCAAAGGAAATAATTTTCAAAGATACTATTTCAGTGTCTTTGGTTTATATTAAACCCATAATTAACTCAACTGCCTAAGCAAACTGAGAAGAAGGCTCTGCAATCAAAGATGTACAGAATTACCAACCATGAGAGTTTACAAGTCAGGTTCTGAACCAATCATGAAACTGGCTTAGAAATAAAAATTATCTGCCTCTGGTTCTCCCTTTTCCTCAAGCTGCATGCGTCAGAAATCTAGTAGTGAGGGCGCGAATCTGTGGTGCAGTAACAGGTCCAGACCTATTCCCAAAAGGCACAGCGTGCTCCATCCCCTGAAAATGAGCACGTGCAAGAGGAGCTGCACTTCGCATGATGCACTTGCACATCTCCACCCACCTTGGGGTAATCACAGGCTCTGATTTTTCTGACCAGGGCAAAGTTTCTCCTGCAGTTCTGGTTACCGCGACAACTTCAGCTGGGCTCTCACAAGTATCACAAGGCTGGGCAACTCTGGATGTTGCATATCTGTGTCCCCCACCTCCTGCAGCTTCCTGGCTCATTTGCAGGTATTTATTCCAACAGCAAAACAGCACAGCAACAGCACCTCTTTGAAGAAAGCCTTGTGAAGGCCTAAAGTAAGTGTCAACAGCTGCATAAATTTAACAGAGACATAATTTGCAACCTGTATTTCTCAGCCTCCTTACCACTTGCTTACAGTGGAGAAAGCACATCCAAACCCTCCCGTATCCCCTGGTTTCTATCATACTAAACCAGAAGAGTAGGGTCAGCAGAAGAAAAAATACATGCAATAATGTTAATAACATCTCAACCAGATAAGAGGTAGAAGAGATGAGACTTCCCAACTCATTCCTAGGTTGGCTGTGAGCAAGCAGCAACAGCACAAAGACTTAAAGTACAGTTCCACAAAAGACTGGAGATGTGAATAAAGCTGTCCATCTCCAAACAAGGGAAGAGAGGAGTGCAGATGCACTGCCTGCATTTAAGGACTGCTGCTCTATTCCCCGCCGTGTGCTCCTCCACCAAGACTGGGCTGGGGTGGAAGCACTTCTGACATCTGCTCTGAACTACTGTCCCTGCTCTTGCTGGGCTGCACCTCTGCTTCTGCCCCTTCCACCCCTTCCCCTCTAGCAAGGGAAACTGCACTAAGGTACAGGCCCTGCTTCAGGATGCAGAGGAAAGGTTCAGGCATCAGCTGAAACTCCCATGTCCCATAACCAAAGTTTCTCCCACCTTTGGATAGCAAGCCATGCTGCAATAGTAGGTCTCACCTATTCCTAAGCAAACACCACTTCCTCTTCCCAAACTAGCACCAGCCTGCAGAAGAGGTACCCCAGGCCAGAGAACAACCTTGTGCCTGGTTGCGGTCCCACCAGACAGACACAGCAACAGATGCTTCTCTCTGGTGTATTTAGTTCAGAGAGGACCACCCCATCCAACACGTGGACAACACATAGGCTGTTCTACTTGCCTGGTGTGACACTGCATGAACAATGGTGCTAAACTCAATTTGCCTGCAAACACAAAGGCACTTGCAAAAGGGACTGCACTAGCCTGTGGAGGTCCCTGCAGGAAGCTGTGCTGACCCTCGCCTGGTCTCAAAGGAAGGAAAACAGAAAAAAAACAAACAAAACCCAAAAACCCAAAACCCTTCTCCCACCCCCAAAAAACCCAAACAAACAAAACAAAACAAAACAAAAAAACACACAAAGAAAAAAACAAAACCAAAAACCAAAAACCACCAAAAAAACCCACCCCCCCAAAAAAAGCCTGACTTCAAAGAAACAAACAAAAACGAAACAAACCTCCCCAAAACAACACCAAAACCAACAAAAAAAACAAACACCAAAACAAAACCCCACTTTTCCCAGTGCAGAGGATGCCCCCAGTGCTTACTTCTCAGCTTTTTGTACTCCACAGTGACTCTGCTTCCCACAAGTGATCACACCTTACTTAGCTATTATTCTCACCTAGCTATTACAGAAGTCAGTTTAGACACAGAGGCCCAACCTGCCCTAGGCTCCTACAGGGCATCTGAGCCAGGGTCAGAGAACAGATATGCAAAGGTTCAGTGCCTCTTAGGGCGGATCTTGCTAAGAAAGAGGACAGGGGTCTTCCCAGGCCAGGTCTAAATGAATTCAGGACATGCCCTTAGCTCCTACACCTAGGAAACTATCCTGAGGGCACAGGCAAAGGCATGGGTTGCATGGAGCAAACACGAGTGTCTGGGTAGAGCACACTTACCCCACGCCCCAGCCCGTGCTCTCGCTGCTGTGACATCCACCCCAGCAGCCAGGCTGGCACCCTGCACACCACTCCATCTCACCTGGGAGAAGTTCAGCCCATTGAGAGGGTGGCACTGCTCCTCCACTCTCTCCACAGCACCCGTTTGCTTCCTCAGCCGCTCTGCTTCCTGGGCCAGGTAGAGATCCAGGACAGGCACACCTCGTGACTTGATGTCCACCTCCGTCAGAGAGTTCACCATCAGCATCACCCACACCGGCCTTTTCCGCTCCCAGTTGCCAGCAATGGCATTGAAGAGGTAATCTGCGTACAGTCCTTTGCCCCGCTGGTCTGGGCTCATCCAGGACGGTATCATGAGCTTGACATACTCCAGGTGCCGCTTGAGCCGGTGGTAGATATCACGGGGCAGCACGTCCTGGAGGTTCTCCCCCTGCGGCAGGAGCTGGCAGCTGGTGAGAGCTGAGATGGTGTAGGGGTCAGTGAGGTCCAGCTCGAAGTACACAATGTGGCTCTGCTGGAAGGCCACCTTGGAGTTCTCTGGGATGAAATCCCAGACACGTGTGTATGGGACATGGATGGTGCCAAAGAAGTAAGACGGGGGATCTCTCTTGATGGTCCACAAGAAGGAATTCAGCTCACTTTGCTAGGGGAGAGGGAGACACAGCTGAGTACAGATGTTTATACAGGACCACTGTAGAACAGGCCTTAAGGAAAACATGTTGCCAAGCCAACAGGTCACCTGGCTCAGCAGCTTGCTGACATGGACTTTTCCTGAAGTGCTTTTGCTCACACAGAGTCCTCTTTGACCACCCTTTTCCCAGAGGTCGAAATTCAATTTTCATCAATTAAAAACACAATAAGGCTAGCCTTGGCTTTCTCCTCCTCAAAGGTAACACTGGGTCTTCTCAACAGCCACACCACCACAGCTCATCACCTGAATATCTGCCCAAAACCAGCAGCAGAGCACAGCTCAAGCAGGCCACGCTCCAGGCAAGAGGCTTATCAAACTTCCACCATTTATTGACATCAGAAGCTGATATCACATTGCTGAAGCAGAGCAGGACAGCAGGGTTTCAATCACCTTCGCCTTGATGTCTTTCACCTCAGCATAGCAAGAACCTTTAATCAAAGAAATGGCTGTGACATTTAGTCAGAGGGTGCTACAGCATCTCAGGAGAACTTTCCACTCTGAGGAAGAAACCAAAAAAATGTAACACAAAACACAGCTGGCAGGCAGACTTGCTGGAGCAGAAATACAGTTGTACAGGGATGCAGCACATGGCAGACAGGCAGACAGTCAAGACCCATCACAGCCCAGTTCTCCACTCTCTTAAGGAGCAGAGAAGCATATGCAATACCTTGGAAAATAAGGGAAAAAAATTCTATAGGCCAGACACAGCCTGTGGTTTCAGGGCATACTCTTACAAACACAGAGGAGGAAAAAGCTTCTTTCTTTAAATTAGCTTTTTAAATATTTCAAAAACCACAACCATCACAAAGTCAGAATTAGACCTCAAATTTATTCCACTGCAAGATGTGCCTCACAACATCCCCAAGATTACCAGAGTACAGGGCTGTGGTGAAACCCTAAGCAATCCCACATGGCAGGAGGGCAGACAGGGCAAAATGGATCCTGCTTGCATCCTGCCAAGTCATTTTAAACCAGCAGCAGGCATGACCTCTATCACCTACAGCATGCACCCCTCTGGTGCTGTGGTCCTCACTGGAGTGATGAACGTAAACTGTTCTGTCTGCACAGACAGGAAAGGGTAGCCTTTGCACATCTAAGTAAGAGGACAGGCTTCCTGATGCACTCAAAACATCTGGTCAGCCTTTAGCCAGAAGATAACTCTAACCTCAGCTTTGAGGCTAAGCATGCATGCGTGCTGATCCAAGCCTGCCCAACTGCCAAAAGCAGAACAGGCTGCTTGGAGGAATTTATTGGAAGCACACTGTCTATAAATTTCTGATACTAAAGACCCAAGGTCAGAAAGGTTAATCTTAAAAGACTGCTCTGCAATGGCTCATCCCAGACAACCTCCTCCAGCAGCTCTCTACATCAAACCCAGGCCAAGATCAGGCAGCACTTCAGCAAAGTGCTACCACAAGTCCAGCTTACCAGCACAGACCAACAAACCAAGTATACTCTAAAGGGCTCTTCAGATGAATTGAGTGCCTGAAGGATACTTCAAGCCTTGATAACACCATGCTACCCCTCTGGATCTTATAGGACAGCCCTGGAATGCACTTCTGAACAACAGACCATAAAAACTCTCCTGAAGACCATGGGAAGAAGGGAGAACAAACATGATGCAGCACCCAAACGTAAAAAAAATACAGGGCAAAAGATGAGTATGAATCTGACACAGACCCAGCAAGAGCACTGGAAATGAATACACAAAGAGGGAAATGAGACAGGGCTCACTCCTGTCATTAGCTGGAAGGATAAAATGGAGACACACTGCCTGGTAAGAAATGAACTGAAGTAGTGGTCAGTCAGCTTCCAGGAGGAAGGAGCAGAAGTGTCGCTTGCTATCCATAGGCAAGCAAAAAGACAAGACACCTGGGACAGGCACTAGGTCGGGAGGTCAGCCCTCCTTCACTTTTCACAAGTCTGATCATGTATGAGGCAGTGCACAACAAAACCACAACTGCAAGGATTTGTAAGCAACAAGTGGTCACCGGTCAGCTTAAAACTTCAAGTCAGCTCCTGAATAAACCTAGCCAGAAGGCTCAAGACTAGATGAATGGTACTAGTCTTTAATGTGGATCATCAGCACTGCTCCTGACTACTGCACACAGGCAAGTTAGTAAGGCTCTTGGCATTGTACCCTTACTTTTTATTTGGTTTTTAAATTCCCCCAGCTTTCACAATTGGATACTGAAAGCAGAGTAATACTGCCAGCTATTAGTAGTACCACTGAGTAAATCACACACGCCACCAGGCACAGAGTAAATAAAGTCTCCCTTTAAAGAGCCTGCAGCACAGGCAGGGGAAGCAGGATGAGACCTAGCAAAACTTCTCACACAGTCCTGGAGACTGAGACCTTACAAAACAGAGCAGCTGGGCACTCTTGCTGATGCTTCCACACCAACAGGCGCAGTCATGAGCTTGGCAACCCACCCCAAGTGCCATTCAGACCTCCCTTCTCAGAATTACTTGCAGCCAGCATGAGGGGATCAGACAACAGGCCTCAGTTTACCACCATTTACAGCTGTCTGGGACATGCTAGCGCCTCACACTCCTTTGACATCTCTTTTTCCCTCAAGAGGCAGAAACTGGGGTTCCAACACTGCTTTACCTCCATGGCAGACCCCTGTAAACAGCCTGCTACTGCTTTGTGTAGGGGGGATGAGGAAAAGCCCTTGGTGTGCCTGAGCAGGTCTGTTCTTTCCCTGCTGTACCTTCTGGCACTGTCTTATCTCTTGTCACCTCCTGGCACTCATGTATGTTTCACTGCAGCTTCAGAGAGGGAAAATCAAGGCTATAATTTCTCCCCAAAACCGTAAAAGGGAATCTGTTAAACAATGTTCTAGGTGGGTGTGAGATAGCACAGGGGCAGTGCTGAGGCTTGTTCAGCTCTGCAGTACACGCCGCCACTGGCAGCACCTCTCTCACCTCACTTCTCCGAGCGCATGCAGTAGATAAAGATGCTACAACCTAATTTTTCTTTGCAGTAGGATCCTTATATACAGCTGTTACACCAGGAAGGGGTGCTTTAAAACTAGTGTAAATTACAGCCAAAGTGATGTCTGGAGGCTTAAGAGAGCTGGGTTGTATTGCTCCAGGAATTTCACTTTCAGTAGCGTAACAACAAAAAGTCAGGTTCACATATATATATATATATATATATATATATACACTTAAGTTTAGTATTTCTGTCTCCATTGTTTACAGGTCATTTACAGGTGATACTCACTGCATTATTCATGATGGGAAAAACTAGGAGCAACAGGAAAAAAATGGAGGGGCAGCCTCAGTAAGAGTGGCAGTCACGCAAGAGAACACAAATCTCCCAGTTTGCTGCCATACCAAGACCTGGGGCCATGTCATGCTAGCCGTACCAGCCCTCCTTTGTGCCTCAAGTTTAACCTCCCACTACATAGTGCCAGATCAAGGTACTTCTGGACGCTCAGCACTGTGGCACAGTGTCTTCTTCCCAGCCTCATCACCCCAAGTGACAGAGAGCTGGCTGTGAACTGATTAAGGATATCAACCCAGCCAAAAAACAGTCTGAAATAAAAAAGGAGAAAGGCTTTGCCTCAGCCAGCAGGGAAATGAGGGAGAAGGAAAAGAAGCTGCTCAGGCTGACACTGTTACTGAAACAATGCACCGGGACCTATGGGATTTACTCCCTACTGTGAGACTGGGAAGCCTCCCTTCCCAACCCAAACACCACTGCCTGCCAGGAGATGCAATGGGGACACAAAAGACCAGACAATGCTTTCCCAAAATGATGGGACAATAGAGTCAGGCACTGCCAAAATCATCAAAAAACATGATGCACATCAAGGGTTTTTCCTTGGGAGTTGAGGAAGGGTCTAGACAAGAACAAAAAAGTCCTGAAGACCTCGAGAGTAAAGTGATGTATTGCAGATCAGTAGCTGAAACCAGAGCTCATATCCTAACACCTGCTCTCTAATCACATACCTGATGGCACTGGTGCCACTGGAGACTCCCATGACTTTCTGCCTTCCTTCTACCTGCTTCACCAAAACACAGGCTCTAACTGAGAGGTAGTTTCATTATCTTTCCAATAGATTTATTTAAAAATAAAATAAATTAACCCAAACAAGCAAAGAAACAAAAAAAAAAAAAAAAAAAAAAAAAATCAACCCCACAACTCTCCGTTTCTGTTCATTTTAACTACCTATAGCAGATTGTTTTTCCAGAATGATTTATAGATCCAGCCATAGGATGCAACTTGTAGTCTTCAAATACACAAATACCACTGCGTTTGTCAGATATCATGCATCATTTCATGTGAGGCAGTAATGATTCTGCTGGAAGAGTGTTGCCAAAGAGGATCAGAAAAAGCACCATCTTTCTTCCAAGAAACAAGCTCAAATTGGGCCAAATGACATACTGACTGTCAAGAGTAAAATTACGGTAATCATGCAGAAAATATTGCAGCAAAAACCAGAAGGAACAAAGAATGCAACTAGTGGCAGTGCTCTGACCACCTGGAAGAAAACCATGGAAGTTTAAAAACAAACATATTGATGAAGGCAGGTTGTGGTGATATTGGGTACAAAGTCTCAGAGAGGAAGGAAAACTGCTGTCCAAAACCTGAGCAACTGGATGTGAACTCCAGACATGGGAAACCTACACCTGCTCAGCTTCCTTCTACATCACTTTTGCTTCCTCCCGTTGTCTGTCAGTCTCATCTATGTAGACTATACATCGTCCAGCACAAAGTATGTAACTCACTGTACAGGCAGGTGCCCTGTATGGATTCAGTGTCTTTCAGGACACCACAGTGTCTTTCAGCCCCACACCCACATCTCCCAAACCTCATATCAGATCAGGATTGGATTATTTCTTGGTCCGCAATATTATCCTGATTTTTCTTTTTTTTCCTTTTTTTTTTTTTTGCTTGCTACAGAAGCAGAGCACATGGCATGAAGTATTTCAGCGAAGCAGGCAGCCCTATAACCTTCCCTATATGGCTTTCTCCCTCCTTCTTATCTATCTTGGCATTGTATCTTGTCATGTTCATTTATACCTAATTCAGGCAAAGATTGTGCTTTTACTTGCCACGTAAAGTGCCTCATGCATCTACTGTAATGCACACAGAAATGCTAGGCACATTTTTAATAATCATTCTCTTGAGGTTTTGCCCACTTGCATTACTGGCATTCTCAAACTCAGCTTAAGACTGCAAGCAGAACTGGCCTGGAGATAAATACTGCACTGGCTACAACTATCAAAAGAACACGCATTCACTCTCCGTTTGCCAGAAGGAAAAAATAAAAATAAACCCTTTAACTAAAAGGCCAAGGGTTTGGAGTAGACAGATCACTTGCTCTGCCAAAGTGCGTGTATGGGGAAAGGTAGCTATTGAAATCGATTGTCCCCCCATCAGAAACAATGCATCATAAAACACTAACCAGCTACAAACACAAACATTCAGCTGTGAATCCCTGGATTCTGGCTTTAAATTTACCAGTACACTCCAACATTAAACAAAACGACAGCATCACCAGACCACATTACTTAGCAAATGGAATATAACCCAAAGGATTTCAGCATGGTTTATTTTAGATTAACTGTTTTTAAAGCCTTCCTTTCTTCCTATATATCTATTAAAAAAATATGATGGGACATATTATTGGTTGCAGCTTTAACTATAATTTGGAGTGATGATGAGAAAGCCCTCTGAAGAACTGTATGATCATTCCTTAAAATAGCAGCTTCTCTCTCGCAGGCACTGATGCACATATTTCTTTCATGACAGAAGCTTTAGGCAATCTGACAAAAAGAAGAAAGGTAATCTAGAGACATAAGAGATACCATAAAGAATTAAGATAAAAAACAACAAAAATCCTTCCCTGATAATGCAGGGACAAGAAGGAATATTCTTTCCAAGAGGTTGGTGTAAATATTAATAATGATGCACCCAACATCTTTGCAAATAAGGCAGACATGGCCATTCCTCTACCTCTTACCACCAGCGTCCTAATGATCCTAGGAAACAGCCTGCCAATGCCAAAACTACAGGTGGTCTCCCATTTTAATGACAGAGTAATCAGCAGATAATGAGATACCATTAACACATTTCACCTCCAGATTTGCTGGTAACTGGCAGAAGTCCAGTCAATAGCTCTTGAGGGAAACTCCCTGTGTGTCCCACCAAATTGGTGAACTACCCATTTCTGCAAGGACCTCTGCTGCTCAGGCTGTCAGGGGCTGTTCCCTTCCTTCTTGGTCTCACTAGCTCCTTGCAATTAATTTGCACCAGCCCACACCTTTCACACTTCATGCCCTCAAGGGGAAGAGTGCCCTCACTCCAGAGGCTTGACCTGGCTTTATGGCAGTGTGACGGCTGGCCACCTATAAATCCAGTTCACAGTCTAGCTCCAGGCAGAAGCAAATTGGTAAGGCACCATCCCCCACAGCAGAGTTAAGCTCTGTCTAAGCCAAGCTAAGGCAGACACCTCCAGTGAGGCACATACATAGCTTGGCATAAGGTTAAATTGGCAGTGCCCTAAATTCCTGAGAAATAACTCAGCCTTCTGCATGGGGAGCACCATGCTCAGCTGGAGGCAGCAAGGTCCCTAGACCAGAAGATGCATGTGCAGGTGAAAGAAATGTCACAGAAGAGACCTTCATAGTTGCAAAGCTTTCTCACACCTACCCTGCAGTGAGGCTACTGTGCTTTGGCATCTTCCCAGTGAAGCAGGTCTCCACTTCTTAACAGATGTGCTGGAGGAGGTAACCCTGCCTGGGGCAGGAGATGAACATAAATGGTGAGACATATGTCCCAGGAGCCTCTCAGGTGCACAGCACCTCCGGTCAGGCTGCTTCCAGGTCCAAGCAGATGCCAACAGACTGCACACATGGTATGTTAACGCTAACAGAATGCATCAGAACAAAGTAAATTCCTCTGAAACTTCAACTAGAACTGTTTTTTAACCAATGCCTGATTTTTAATGGAAATGACACCCTACTCGCAAGCTCCACACTGGCCAGAACATCACGCCTAACCTGCAACAGGGAACCTCAGCTGTGCTTATCACCCTTCAGAGCCAGGTCAGCCCACACTGCTCCTGGTTAGTACAGTCAGGCTGCTCAAGTCAGAGGAAGAGCGAAACCTAACACAACTTAGAACTGTCCTTCCACTTCAGGGGCACGACCATTTATTGGTCCAAGCCTGCTGCATCACGCCTGCGTTCAGCAGCAAGGTAAGGGGGTATAGCCTTGCCCTACCTCCAGCGAGGGATGCTGGCAGCAAGTCAGTCCGGGAAAGCCCGTGCCGCTGCGAAGCGGCGTAGCTCGTCCAGCAGGGCGAAGCAAAGGGTTTCGCTGCGGGTCACCCCAGGGTCTTCCCCCTCTGTCAGGGCCCAGCGGTGATCGCCCCACCTGGTGCCCAGCCCCGAGACACCACCCGTCCTGGCCCGTCCCGCCCAGTTCCGCTCCCGCCGCACACCGGGCAGAGCCGCCCCCCAAGGGAAAGAGACCGCCGTGCTCCCCGGTACAGATCCGGACCCCCCCCCCAACAGACACACAGGCAGCTCTCGCGCTGCCGGCTCCGCAGCCCGGTGCGGTGCGGACGGCGGCAGAGCCCCGCCGCGCCAGCTCTTACCTTTCCTCGGAGCGGGCAGGCGGCGGGGCCGCGGCTCTGGCGCGCTGTGGCCAGCAGGAGGAGGGAGCCCGGCAGCAGGCAGAGCCAGCCGCGGCGTACCATCCCCGCTCTCTCACACTTGGCACAAGTTTCCTTCTTCTATTATTTTTTTCCCCTTCGTCTCTACCCACACTTCCCTTTTTCTTTCCCTCTATTTTTATTCGTATTCTCCTTCTTTGGCCCTTTTTATTCTTTTTATTTTTTTCCCTCCCCCCCCCCCCCTTTTTTTTTTTTTTTTTTTTTTTTTTTTTTGACGGTAGACCCAACACCAGAGCCCTCGCAGGAGCGGCCCCGTCCCCTGGCCAAGCCCTCCAGCCGCTGCCCCCTCCTCTTAAAGGGTCCCGTGCCGGGAAGGGGGAGGAAGGGGAGGGTGCGCGGCCCGCCGCACCGGGGGCGGGCAGTGGGGCGGCATCGGGTGGGGGGGAATCCCCCGGGCCCTGCCGCTTCCTCCCGGCTGAGGCAGAAGCCGTATAACGGCGAGATCCAGGCTGGCCCCGGAGGGGCTGGGGCGGATGCGCCCGCCGCCCCGGCAGCCCCCGACGCACCCTTCTGTACCCGGGGTCTAGGGGAGGGAGTCCGACGACCCCGTCCCTTGCCTCCCCTTTGCCCTGCCTGCCTCCTGCCTTTCCTGCCGGTCTCTGCCCAGCATGCAGCTCTCCTGAAGTACATAGAAATCTGAATGTTCTGATTTCTCCCCAGGTCTCTTTATTGTCTGTCATCTTCGGACTGAGGAACTATTTTGACTCATTCTTGTCTTCTTGTTTCAAGAAGCCCTGTGCCAAAACTGTGTGTCCACTGCTGGTACACTCTTTAAAAATGCACCAAAGACATATTACCATCTTTAATTGCCAAATTCAGCCATGTTTGCTAAGGAGATTGTTATTTAAAGCCTCACGGAAGTACGTATTGCTAGTAACTCTTTAAGCTTTTGAGCAAGGCCAGAAATATGCCAGTATTTATTCTGTTGCAAATTCAAAGAATAAACTTCCATGGCTTTCACGATACTTGCAATAGGATCTTCCTGAAAATTTTAATATGGCGTTTATAATTCACATAGAGCAAAACTGTTAACACCTTTAGGGCTTAAGCTAAGAAAACCTTTGAAGTTAAAATATTAACTCTCCATTGCCCACCATGGTGTATGGTGCTATTCCATGGTACATTCCCTCCTGCACCATCCCCAGTTTAGTTAAGGACTTCCAAACACAGAAGAAACCAAAACCTGTAGAAGACATAAACAGAAAAATAACAAAGGTCAAAGGAAGAGGGAAAAGATGCTACTCTATGAACTGGCATCTGCTAGGTTAAGTAGCAGAATAAGGTGCTGCTCTTCTTCAGACCATCCTCCAAAATGCATTTCTCCATCTTCTCTCAACATTCAGTAACAGTATTTTTACCATTTCTACTTTAGTAGAAATGTATGCTCACTTTCCTGTGGGAAGAATGGAGATGCTTCTGCCTTTTCAACAGCTGGTGGACCTGACCTACCCCTGAGATGGGTACACTGTGTGAACAACGATTGTTTTAAAAGGCTGCTATTAATTTCTTGACAATGTTGTTCTGTCTGTGGAAATGCCATGCACAAAGCAACAGGCAGTCTGCAGACCAACTGTTTCAGGCTCTTTACTGACTCAAATTGTCATTGTTTATTTAGCTTTAGCCTATTCTTACTTCTAAACTCATCTTTTCCAATGCCAGAGATGCAAATATCTGTCCCTAAAATAAAATTTAAACCTAAGGTTAAACTGTGGTTCAGATTCAATGTCAAAGTTCCCACCAACTTGAAGAAATTGTCATTTTTTACATTTGGTCAGATAGCCTAGATTAGTGATGCAAAGTAACTGCTTCTAGAAGGTATCCAGAAGCAAACCCCTTTGCTGTCTTGCCTTGTCCTATATGCATTACTATATTTCTTAATACATTGGATTTTGAGAAGAATGACATCGATAATATGTGTAATACATCTTTTGTTAGGTCTTGCCAACCATTTAGAACAAAAAGCATTACCTGACAAACAGTATGGCATTTATGCTATAGACAGCATTTATAATACCTAACTGTTTTAATTGGTATGCATTTCGGGGCATGGAAGCCAGATAACATTCATACAATATCTAGATCAAGCTATAGAGAACAAGAATAAGTCTTTCATGGCATAGAGAGGTGCTGCCAGACTGAATTCCTACTTTCTGTGTGACCATTTTTAGTCGCTTAAGGTTCTAAAGTAACAAAATACATCACACTTTCTGAAACACACAGCTCACAGGCATACAGGCAATGCAGATTAAGATGCTGCTTGGCTTTATTTTTGATCTGGTGGGAAATGCATTCTTTGTGGTGAATTGCTAGTGGAAAATAGGCAACGAGGAAGCCCAAGTAGAATGTTTTGCAGAGATTTTCAAAGTAATTTATACTTTCACTGCAATGTTTCGGTAGAAAACCACATCCTAGACCTATTAACAGAAACCTAAGAGATAAAACCAACATTTTTATTTAACAAAGCCCCGTTCACAGTGTGACTGGGATTTGTTTATCCCAGTCCCTTGCAAAATTATTTCAATACGACTTCAGCATGTGCTTAAGGCTAAGCATGTGCTTATGTAAGTTGCATAGAAAAGGTAAACTGCAGCACACCCTTAAATGCTTTTCTGATCAGGGCCTTAGACCCCAGAGAGTCTGTGACCTGAGCTGTCTGGTTGGTAGTTAATTCAAGATAACTGGAAGGACAGGCCCCACAGCCATGTCTCTTACAATGTCAGAGTTTAAGCAGCTGTCATACACAGGCAGTTGCTCACTCTCACATCTCAAGCTTTTAGGCATGCCTACAGGTGGGACCAAGTAGTGACCTGGGCTATGTGTGAAAAATAGCTTGGGTTTGTTGTCTGGGGCTTTTTTTGTCAGCTGACATTTAACTTGAGTCAGTTTCCCAGGCTGTAAGAGAAGTTATATGGAAATGGTTGAGAGTCTGTCAGAGACAAAAGCCTCCTCAAGTGGGTGTTACTGCTGACAGATCTGCAGAGGATCACAGTCCAAAGTTCTGCACATGCTGATTTAGATGGCATGTGTCCATTTGCACACGTGGCACAGTGCATGGACAGTGCGTGCGCTCCTGACAGACCTCCGGTTTGTCCATAGTGCCTTTGCTACCTAACATTAACAATGTTAGGAAATGGGAATGGGAACGAAAGCCACCTTGTACAGCCAAACACAGCAAGCCTTGAGTGAAAGAAGCTGCCACAAAAGCGATTTGCACAGTCTTCTGGACAGAATTACATTCACACTCCATTAATAGGCAGGTCAGCTGAGATTTACCCACTACCAAACAGGATTTGGCTGGTTTTGAATTCAACATAGATTTTAAAAATGATTAAACACGAGGATTTATCACAATTTAAAATTATGAGGAAGATATCATAAAGTAGATAATAAAGGAGGCAAAGGACCTTTCTTCACCAAGAAGAAGTACTCTATCTGCATTTGAAAGGAAGTTTGGTTAGAAGGATTGATGTGGACTTCAGAGATTCAGGAACACAGAGCCCCAATTATGCCTCTAGATAAAAAGGGTTAGTGAACTTTGTAGTATGTTACTGTATGAAAGTGTTAGGTCAGCTGGAAGGGAAATATGGGGAATATATTACAAAGTGAAGTGGTTACATGTAATTATCAAGTATAGTCAGCCAGAAGCCAAATATAAAGACTAAAGAGTGGAATTCTGTTCTCTAAACACATCTTAATAATAGTAATCTCAATTTGAATGGAGAGAGAAAGCTAAACAAAAATAAATCTCTTAGGCATTGAAAGGAGGTGAAGAGAAAGTACATGACCAGAACAGGGAGCTCTGAATTGTGCTGGCCCCAGCACTTTAGAAATAGAAGGGAGGATCATTTGAAGCCAGGCTGGAAAGAGTTAAAGGGCAGCTTACAAACCTCTTTCCCGAGTCTGAAAATAGTCTTTATAAGAGTGCTATCAAAACCCAAACTGTTTAAAAGGTGAGAATAAAATGCTAACAAATTAGTAAAAATATTGTGAATTATTCAGCTATTAATTCATAATGTGAGGACAAAAAAATGAAAAGCACTGTCAAGATAAATATGATTAATGCATTATTTTATTGACTACAGTAAAAAGGGACCCCATATCTCATGCATATAGGAAGTACTGTATATCTTGAGGTGTTCATATATCTGATTTGCATTGTTAATCATACTGCAACTAGAGAAGCAGAAACAGACCGAAGCTCCATGGTGAAGCACAAATAGTTTGAGTGATATCAACTGATTTTGTCCACAAAAAGGCATGTTCCATGCCAATCAGTCCATCACTAACCCTTGCCAGCTAATGCTTTAGTGCTGCTCTGGTTGAGTATTGCTGTACCATGAAATCTCAAGTAAGCACATTGGCCAAACCTGCTCTGCAGGGTGGGAAGGGAAATGTAGGTCCCTGAAGGCTAGTCCATCTCTCTCTCAGGGAATGGTAGCTCCATAGCTAACCCATAAATGGCCCTCAGCCTTGCTGGCTGAAAAAAAGCGGCTTAGGTGTCGAAAAGGAGGGATGCAAGAGTCTCTCTTCTCTTCCCACTTGCTTATCAGTCCCTTCAGTGGGTTGGAGGAAAGATGCAGCAGCAATCAGCCCTGGAAGCCCAGGTGGATCCTCGTCCTGCACACAGAGTCATCCACCTGGGAAAGCAGCTTGAAAGCCTGAGCCCCTCAGGAAGGATTCACAATGCGTAAAACCTCCAGTTTACATATGTAGATTTCTGATGTCTTCCAGAAAATATCAGAACAACTTCACTGTGGAACAACTGAAGAAAGCCTAAAGCAGGTAGAAATGCATTTAATTCAGCTTATCCATAAAACTAACGTGAGTTTTTCAGGATATCTTTTGGGGAGAAAAGCTATCCTGATTTTTTAGCAGCTGTAATTAAAGACTTCCACAAAGAGGGGAGGGTTTTTTTCTGAGAGAAAACATTTTTTTCTGGTTTTCTAACTGGCTTTAAAAAAAAATTAGCAAAACTGTCAGAGTTGAAGACACAATGTAGGCAACACTCGAACTTATTACAAAATGTTGTCTTTGCAGTATGTAA